CCTCCTCATATGCATGGATAGGTTTTGCTCCAGAAGTAGTTGAGTGCAGTGCAAAGGAAGTGGAGTCTGCAATTCAGAGAGACAAAGGGTAAGAAACCCAGCAACAGAAGAAAGCCAGTGACTGAGATTCATCCTTTTGGCATGCTTGCATTGCCCCCAGAGTGGAAACCAACTTGTCCTAACCTTTGTGGACATTAATTTATTTTAATTTGTGGCTTATAATTGAAACAAAAATACAATACATCTTACCAAGGATGAGGAAGACCTCCTGGCTTGTTGCCCAGGTGATTAATGGTTCACAGTCAACTACGACTGATTCTTCTTTTCCAAACCCAGCTTAGGCAACTCATAGCCCATCAGGTATAAATGGCCCCATCGGAAGCCTACCCACCCCCATTTTGCAGCCCCTGAATCCTAATTTTAGGCAGGAGATAAAAGGAAGTAAATTTGCTAAGCTTATGGAAAATCTGGAGCAGATGCTTCCCCAAAAAGGGTTGAGAACCCTCTCAATAATTGGCAATTGCCTCTTGTAGGCTTCTCTGCAAGGGTCGTGCTTCTCAAAGAAGCAGAATGGCACCTAGTTGCCAACTGGGAAGTTCTTGACGTGCAACCGCCAAGGGGTTTGCAGCCTGTATTTTTGATGCTGCTGTTCAACCATGAGGAGCAACTGATGACAGTTGCCGTTCCAGTGCCTGAGCACAATCCTCTCCAATGCGAGAACTGCTTTAATCCGCCCTGGGATTCAGCTGCGTCTCTAAGCAACAGCAAAGGATGGATTTGCCAAGGCTTCGTCTCTCCAATAGTCTCCCCCACATCCGTGGCTCAGCATCCTCAGATGTTGACCGTTAAGATTTCCACTGATAGGTAGTAGGTACAGTCGGCATCTTTCCCACTTTCTTTTTCAGCTGTGAGTGTGCCTTCCTTCAGGATTGTTGGAAAGAAAGGGTCCAGCTTCCAGCTTCTTTTATATTTTTATAAATATAAAAGAGAGAGAGAGGGAGAGAGAGAGAGATGTACAGTGGTACCTTTTGTTACGAACACCCCTCCTTACG